CCCCCCATCAAGACCCCCCCACCCCGGGTCCCCCAGCCGGCCTGGGGCCCCCCCTAGCACAATAAATGGGGCAGCTGCCCCAAAAGCGGCCTTTTTAGCCCCAAATCGGGACTGGAGGGAGGGGGAGCATGTGACCATGGGGGCCACCTGGTCCCCAGCCCGGCCCCAATGTCCCCAGTGTCCCTGCTGTCCCTGGCCAGGCCCCGCTGTCCCCGGCCCCTTATCTGGGCCCTGGGCACAGGACGAGCCTGGGGCCCCTGAGGGGGCGTCCCCGTCATGGGGCCACCATGGGGACCTCCCCATCCCGGGGGCCACCATGGGGACGTCCCCATCCTGTCCCTGTCCCCATCCCAGAGGCCACTTCGGGGACATCCTCGTCAATGGGGCCCCTGAGGGGGTGTCCCCGTCATGGGGCCACCGCGGGGACCTCCCCAGGGGACCATTGCAAGGATGTCCCCATCCTGGGGGCCACTGCAGGCATGTCCCCCCGGGGGCCACCATGGGGGAYACCCCCGTCATGGAGCCCCCATGGGGGATGTCCCCATCCCGGCCACTGCAGGGATGTCCCCATCCCAGGGGACACCATAGGTGACGTCCCCATCCTGTCCCTGTCCCCATCCTGGGGGTCCCCGCGGGGACACCCCCGTCCCGCTCCCCACGGGGGGTCTCTATGGGACACAGGGGTGGGGGGCATGGGGAAGGGGGGGGCACGTCCCCGTCCCCCCCCAGTCACCCCGTGGCCGCCAGTGGGAACAAAGTTGGGGACACGGGGACATCAACCCCCCCAATCACACCAGGGCTCCCGGGTCCCCTGACCCCCCAAACTGGGGCGATTTTCCCCTAATTTAGGGTCCCCCTCCCAAMTGCGTGCCGGCGTGACGTCACAGCACCGCCGCCGCCCATTGGCTGTTGGTGTTCCCGCGCGTCCCGCCCGCCGCCCAAYGGGGAGCGAGGCCGGGCAAGGGGAAGGGCGGAAGCAGCGACGCTAGCCAGGGGGTGGGGTTTTGCGTGCGCCGCGCTTCCGGCGTCGGGCGGAAGTGGCGGTCTCCGTTGGAAACGCGGCCGGG